ATGACCGCTTATGGTAAGATATGTATATGTAAAATGCCGGTACGTTTAGTGTTAATCTGTTCTGCTCTCGCAGCGTGATCGTGCGATCTCCGAACCTGCGGTTCGAATGATCAAACGTGAAACTCACGGAGGTCCACGAGAATTGTTATTCTCCACTTTGGCTATCTCCGTTGACGCGATTCATTCACCAAGTGAAGCCTTCACTATGGCCTGTATTTAGAGAACCTAGGAAAACACTCGAGTTGTTGCGACAGCCGTTCACAACCGTGTCTATGTTTCAGATCCTTGCAAACGCTATTGTCTGCTCTCCTGGCCCTGGTCCGTTAATAATAACGTGTATTTACGCCGACGGTGTCATGATGTCTTCCATGGTAAGGAGCATTTTATTCGAAACCCGAGACGATACTTGAGATTTCGTGATTCCTGTCAAATAATCACTTTCACTTCGATTTTCTTCACTTTACTTGTAATATTTGTCGTGTTATTTAACAAAGAGGGAATTGTTGTTTGTGCAATTACGAAGAAGAAGAAGAAGAAGAAGAAGAACAGAAAATTCGATACATGATGAATATATCGAAGCAAAGTTATCGTCGTAAAGACGACGGCTAATCCTGTTCAGGGGCAACAGCCTCTCGCGAAGATGAACGTGTCATGCTGGAAAATGAAAGCAAATTACCGTCGTCTACAAATTGGAAATGATTGCTACTCTGCTACAGATGAGTGTTGCTTTCTTGCGGACGATCCTTTGGCATAATTTCGGTGTAATTAGAAATTGCTAGGATTGCCGCGCGGAAATGTTCGCCTCTTCTCTCCCCCCCCCTTTCGCTTCAACGCTTTTTTTAACATTTCAAGTGGCAAAGCTATTTGGAAATTTTTCAACAGACGATCCAACGAAACCCGAGATCACTGACCAAGCGAAAAGAGATCCGAGATTCTAATTTCACAACTTTCGTAAACTTTTGCTTAACCAAGTATACGAAAAAGAAGAAAGTAACCACATTTGAAGGAAAATCGTCGTGCCAGAAGCAAAGCGGAAGTCCTCTCGAGATCCGCTCGAGCACCTTCTTGATTCCTTCTTCGTTGGTCCGACGATGTCCGCTGAAACGTGACCGTTTGGCCGTGTAACAGGATTAGAGGAAAAGGGAGATAGATTAAATTTCGAGATATTTAGCCGGACCGCTGCACCCGTCTACTCTTTCTCCCCGGCATGGCCGTCCGTCCGATGAGGGGAACAGTAGGATTTTCGCCAATATTTTGGGTGTTTAGCCTTTGTCGCGGGACACTGGCCATTGTCGCGTGAAACGATGGGCGTGGAGTTGGCCGCCGTGGAGTGAAAAGGGAACCGGCTACCTTCTTCTGCTCCCTTTCCCTCCCCCCCCCCTCGGCAATGCCCTTTACGCGCCACTTTTTCAAACCCACAAAAGAGGGCCCGTGGCCCGATACTTAATTTGTTCGCTGCACGCGTTCCGATGACTCTCTGAATTTGCCACCACTTCTCTCGCGCAGCGTCGTCGTTCGACGTTCTATGGCGGACCACGGGCCTGATGATTGTAGAGGAAGTGGCCTTTCAATGTCGCCAACAGTCTGGCGAACTGTGCAGGCTATTAACGCGCGTTTATATTGTAGATTTTCTTTACAACTGTACACGGTGGTGGTGTGTGCCAATTTTCGTACAATGGCTAGCTCGTTCGAACATTACCCAACTCTGGAAACTTCAGTTTTTCCAGGAGGGGGAAAAAAAAAGAAAAAGAAAAAGAAAACGCGAGGCAGAGTTACTTTTTAACCTTTCTGGTAATAAACGTCTCTCTCATCGAACTGAATATTCTTCGTATATATTTTTATACTTTCGCACTCTTGCAAGTCTAATTGTTGTTTGAACGTTTGCCGGGGGAGGGGGGGGGGGTTCTGCCCTCTTTTCAGGTCCGTCACGCCTCGTTAGAGATCTCGAAAGGCCACAGATGCAAACAGAAATGGCATCCCGCGGGGCGAGATTCCCTTCTTTCCACGAGACTTCCGTTCACAAGAGGCGATTCGTTATTTCATCGTTGCGCGCGTCATCGCCTTCTCGAGAGCACTCGGTGTGCTCCTCCTCGAGTGGCTTCTCCTCCCTCGACGAGTTTTACGCGTTCTCTCCAGAACGAACTACTAATCAATGTTAAATGACGTTTCTTTCTTGAGGTCTCTCGAGTGTAAGCAAGGTACGCGGCTATGGCTTCTTGAAGATGTTTGGTAAATATCCCTGTTGATCGTCGAAGGGTTAAAGGATTTTCACACGAAAAGCAGGTGAAAATTGTTCCGAATGAAATTGAAATTTCTCACCAAAAGCACAGCTGTCGCTCGGTAATTACAAATCATCGCTGTACAATCAGTTATAAAGCGTTAGTGGTGTAAATAATTGTAAAACATTCGTAATTAGATCGATCCCCGTCCACGAAAATTTGTCACGATTGTCGAGATACAAGCGTTTTGCTCGCATTATCCGCGAGCGCAAGAAGATCCAAGAATCTCGTGAAATCTCATGTTGAGAAACAGGGAAACCCTCTTCCCCTCGACCCGACGGGGCTGGCACGATAGAGAGTTTATAAATTATGAATATTTAAGTAGTGAGCGAGACAGCGGGTTGCGCGGGAGGAGGGACCGTTCCCTGAAACGATATTTTCCTATCTCGGTGCAATAACGTCGCGCAGCGCAAAAGGGATGCTTAGGAAACAGGATGGTACACGTCGCTAAAACGGCTCTCATCCCTTTGAGAGCAAGCGTCAAAGCTAATGGACCTTCTCTCTTCTCCGCGAGGTTCTATCGTGTTTCTCTTCGCCTTCTACCCCGTTTCTCTCCTCCGTTCCCCTTCGGTACACTGGGTGTCCCGATAATAATCACGACACGATCGACGAAGGGGTGATTCCGCGATTGAGAGGAAAAATGAGAGAGAAACATACCCGCGTCTCTGCGTGTTCGACTTACTCTCGCGATTTCATTCGAATTTCGAAAAAAAATCTGCCAAATTTCTACGAATCGACGAGTCCGATTCCCCCTGTACTTTCAGTAGAATCTCCAAACGAAGCTTTCGTTCCAAGTACTTTGGTACGGACTTAGGTTCTTGCTTAAAAGACACCCTGTATCCTCCGCCTGGCTCTTCATTTCCCAGAGAGAGAGAGAGCTAGCTCTCTCTCTCTCTCTCTCTCTCT